TTTGAGGTAACGAGTTGACTGCCATTGTATACTCTGTTCTACGATGATGCGTAGCGTAACGTTGCAAATGATGCCCACATGATTTGTACTTCCTGAATTCAGCCTGTTCCGGCCGTAATTTGAATGCAAAGCATTGTTTAGTCTTACCAGGATGACGCGGCTTAGTATTTCGCTTGGGGTGGACAGGAGCATGGTTCCGCGCCAGTCCTTACAAAGGATTAGGTTTCCCTTCTTTGGGAGTTTGACAAGATACCCGTTCTTCCAATCGATCAGCAGGTACCTTTCGTTCCTTCCTTCAAAACCTTCTGTAATAGTGACTTGAGCTTATCCGCTGATGTCTCTGGGTCTATTTTCAATGCTTCTGGTGGAATTCCATCTAGTCCTGCTGCTTTTCCGCCCTTCAGCAACTTTACGGCGTTCAGAACTTCGGCTTTTGTCTGAGGGCTTGTGTTCACTGGTAATTCTGTGACTGGCCTGCCAGTTGTATTTCTGGACGACTTACAGGTGGTGGTGGTGGTGGTAGATTCAAGAGTTTTTTGAACTGATCAACCCATCGTTTCCTTCCTTTCTTCTCTTTGGTGGTGACTAAGTCTCATTCACTATCTTTCACTGGTCTCATCTGCGTTGATCTCTTCCCAGATTGAGAGTAACCTGGTCGTTTGATATATCTTTGTCAGGTCTCTGTCTCCCCTACCTGCAGCCTCTTCTCCTTCACTTGCCAGTGTGTCGCGTAAGCGTACGCGTCTTCATTACTTTGTCCAGTGTTTTCGAGGTTGTACTCAGTTCCTCTTCTCGTGGTCATCCATGCACTCCACTGATTCATCTTCTGCTTCACCATCTTCCTCTCCCCACTCTATCACCTTCCATGTGTCCGTCAAGACCCATTCCTTGTCGTGCTTCTTCCGCCTCCTTAACACGGTTATGCAGGTTTCTTTTCATGTCTCTTTCATAGAGTTCCAGTGTTCTTCCACACAGGTTTCCTCGAGAATGTAGTTTAATATCTCCCTTTTATTTTACTGATGACTGACTGACTGACTGACAGGAAGATGTTCTTTGTAGTTCCGTCCTTCAGTTCACTTTCTGTTCTGGGTGTTGAACTTCAACTGTGGTCTATCACCAACTTCTTCGAAGGCTTTCAACCTGATCTTGAAGGTTCCTTGCACTAGACAGTGAGTGGTGTGAACCTACATCTGCTCTCCTCCCTTGATCTTGTGTCCAGTGGGCTGCGTTTCCACTTTCTTCAGATTGAAATGAGGTCGATTTGATTTTTAGTGTATCCATCTGTTGAAATCAATTCCATGTCGCTTTGTGAATATCCTCGTGTTTGTACACACTGCCTCCAATCACCAAATCATTAAAGGCGCAGAAGTCTCCAAACAGTTCTCCATTCTCGTTCATTTCACCGAGTGCTTCTCAACCCATGGTCAATTCTCTTCCCGTGTTGTCTGCTCCCAGTTTGGCATTCATGTCACCCCACCCATTAGAATTTTGATGTCGTCGTCTGAGGTGGGGTCTCGTCCAGTACTGATTGCAGTTGTCTGTAGAATTCCTCCTTCCTCTCTTGATCCGCATTATTTGTAGGTGCGAAGCGTAGCATTGTAGGATTGCTGCTTTCCTCTCTTTTGATTTGGACCTTGCTATCATAATGCTGCAGGAGGAGATGGGTTCCCACTGCATGAGAGACAGCCTTCCATGCTCTTGGGGACATCATGATGGGCACTCCAAAACTGTGTTCGTGGTTGTCGTCTGGGTGACAATATCGGAGTAGATTTTTGACTCTCCAGTTGACAGTTTGAAGAGTCCACTTCCATTCCATCTACTCTCACGGATTCCTAGCACATCTATGCCATGCCTTCTCATCTCGTCTGCAATCTGGGCAGCCTTGTTAGCGTCAGACAATGTGTGGACATTTCATATCCTCACTCTTACTTTCGCTTTCATCGAGAGAAGAGAAGACACATCGGCCAGTTGGCTTCTTGAAGGCTCTCACCAACCGGTATCATTTCGTCTCCCCGACTCCAGCATGGAATAAGGTTATTTTTTATATTTTCTCTGTATTTCGAAGTTTCTTTTGCTATTTATTGGTTTTCCGGGGTGGGATGGCTGGCCCTACGCCTTACCTTCCTTCTTTTTCTGGGCTTAGGATGGGCTGGTAAACTAGACGAGGTTGTTACATGGATGCTGTGCCAGCATACGCGGAACCTACCGATTACTTCTATGCACCTGGTAGTAGTTAGATAAATGACTGTAAAGTAAGACAAAAATGTGTGTATGTAGATAGATATTACGTTAAAAGTAATTCACTAGACTAATTGTTTTTAAAACAGTGGAAATCAATTACAGTCACTGAAAATCAGGGAAAAGTACTGTGAAGTCCTAAATGTTACTGTTGATCTATCGATAATGCAACTTATACATTGTAGGAGTGACTAAATTGTATGTTAGATGTTTGGCGGCATATTGCATGAAGTCATGAATCAAGGTTTCGTGTTTATTGGCACTTGTCAGCAAGGTACGTCTACAACCACACCCGACCCGATGTCCCACTTGAGTCTCGAACTTGCATTACTTACTGTCGTAGTCAGCAACGTTACCACTGAGCTGACTAAGTGCGACATATGTTTTGTCGAGGCGACAGGTAGGCTTTGCTGAGGAGGGCTAACAAGCTGGAAACCTGACTGTGCCTATCTAAAGCTTTGAAAAGTCCTTGAACATTAATTTCGTGACCCGTTTCTATAATGTTTGGCCATAGATGAAGTAGTGAACGCAATCCAGTTTACCAATGACTAATAAAGTGATGAAGGTGAGCCAGAAAAGTTGGATTGCTAGATTAAGCAAAAGCAAGATGGAAATTGAGACAAGTTTCTACATGAAACCCTACCATTAGAATCACTAGTTTTACCCCATGTCATCTCATACTATTTCACTTAAAGTAGGCCTAGTTAAATTTCCAAGCAGCAGCTTGCAAGCAGGTATCAAAATCTGCATGAATAAGTTGTGTTCCAAAAATCACACACATAAATTTCTCAATAAATCAATTGGAAATACAAGTAAGAATCACATCAGTAGTAGTAGTAGTAGTAGTAGTAGTAGTAGTAGTAGTAGAAGTAGTAGTATTAGTAGTAGTATTAGTAGTAGTAGTGATAGTGGTAGTAGTAGTAGTAGTAGTATTAGTACTAGTAGTAGTTATAGTAATGTTGAAACACTTATCATTATTAATATTTCTGCTGTTTATTCATATACTTGTTATTCTCCGTTGTTTTATTGGATCGAATTGTTCGATTTCTATTGGCATATGGGCTCTTATTTAGATATCTCGATATTGCCTGAATGTTAATCATGATAATTTGGTTGGTTGTAGCTAGCGTCCTGGATTCTTCTGCTAGCCACATCCAACCAAATTATCAATGTTTCTGCTACTAATAGTAATAAAGGTGACAGCGCTGAAATAGAATCTACGGCCTCCACTGTGTTGCCAAGCATTAAGGTACCTCAGAAGTGTTACAAGGAATGCTCAATATGGCTGAGATTATAGTTGTATTTAAACCAACAAACTCGTTCAGAAACCGGCTTCGTAAATTAAAAAAATCCTATTTATCTAATTAGGGAAAATAATTTAGTTTGTCAAATTCCTTGCAATGGTTGCGAGGTTAATTTAATAGTAGTTGAGTCAATTCCAGTAATTAAACTTAGCTAAGTCAAGATTAGTAGATCCTAATAAGAAAAGAAATTCAGAGAAAAGCTCAGCTGTAGCTATGCACGAAATTGCACACAATAGGGTAGGTCAGAGCAACAGTATTGAAATCTAAATTGGGTGGAAGAAGAGAATGATAACTGAATCACTAAGAAATACATACGACAGGAATGGCTCTACACATGTCTCACATATAAGAAAAATTCCACTGCCCTTATCACAAAGGCGCGAAGTTTGGAACTATAGAAATTGTCTCAAAAGCTGTGGAATTACCCGATATGAATATAGACAATAAATAATGTTCGAAACGTTATCTAGTAATAGTGATGTTTCAATGCGAGATATTTCTAATAAACAAACTAAAATGAAACCACAATCTACTAAGGTGCCCAAGTTTCCCTCCGATATTGTAGATGAGGAAGGTTGTCTCCAGCCTGCATCTACCAAAGTTTCACACACTGTTTTTGAAGTCATTTAGGTGCATGTTCTCCCATCCTCAACTAAACGGCTCGACTACTCCTCCCTATGTGTCTGTGGCCACACACACATGTAAACTAATAAATACAGTGGGATGAGACGCAATCACATGTGCACTGCTTAGGTTTGTGGTGAATTATATGTCTTATCTCTTCCACAATGATAAGTTTAGCTCCAAATGGCTGGTGCTAGTCTACGTCTCCGAAGTACATGTTCAACTCCCTTTTATGTGGTAGAGTGATATGGACACTTTACTTCGGAACCGTGCATTTTAAATGCTACCTGTTTAGAAGGCAGTTTGCGACATTTCACTTATTCCAGTCATATTAACAAACATTTATATAATCATGTATTTTTGAGGCTAAAAGGGAATTTATTTTTAAGATTGGTATTCATCAGGGTCTGACAACAGTTGGAGAGCCAATGAAAACCTGGCAGTACTGGACAGAAGTTTCATCTTAGTATGAAACCCCCAGTGCGTGTCCATGACCTCGCCAGGGAGCGGACCAAGGATCTTCAAGTTCATGAGTGAGTCCGTCATTATTCAGTCAGTGGATCAGAATGCAATGGTTCACACTTTCCTATTCCAGTCATTTTGTGACTGTCCAGTGTCCCAGATTTTCATTTGGTTCACCAACTGATGTCAGTCCGTGATGAATACTACCTTGAAATAATTCCATAATTCTCTTGTGTAAACACTTGTAAAGAGTGTTGTATCTCTAGTGTATAGTGGGTCTACTGTGAATACGATTCCTAGTTTGATACCAAGACGTCAGCCTATGAAAACGTGATTGAGAAGTATAAAGCAGACTTACAGGTCTCAACTTACCTGGAATTCGATCAGCACTAGAACTGTCCACTTCTGAAGAAGACTGTCCACTGTTTTCATTTATCTGGTCATCCACATCATAGTCATCATCATCGTAGTCACCTTCATCATCATCATCATCGTTATCCTGCTGAAACAAGTGTTCCACTTTATGACTCATATCACTCCATGATGCATTTTTTCGCATACCATCACCAATTTTATTTGATGACGATAACAGTAGAGTTTGAGGAATTACGGAATAACTAGATGGAAAGGTGTATTTAGTACTGCCTAAATTACAATTACACTGATAAGTTTCATTAGAATGTTTAAATATTTGTAAGTCATCAAATATTGTCGTAGTGCCTGTGATAAGACTATGAGTTGGTGAAAATATATTATCATTATTATCATTATTATTATGACTTATTTCTTGTGAATCTGACTCTTGATCTATTGTATTACAACCCATTTGCTGATACCTCATTCTTTTAGGTGGTGCTGTTGTCGCTGTCATTGTCGCCGTCGTTGTCATCACTGTCGTTACCATCCTTACACCAGCATTCGACACTCGTCTTCTGGAATCAGCTCCCAGTGCAATCTGATGTTGACAGTCAGTCTCACTAGGTGTATCACTGTCATTCTGCGAAACAGAAACAGATGATCCATCATTCTGTCCGTTGTGTACATCACTTTGCCTATTCCACTGCACACTGTTTGGTGATACCAACCAATTGGTTGTTGTCTTCAACGGAGACGACTGGAGATTGAATTGCTTTATTGAATATTTTGTTACTGTCGTCATCGGGGGTAGAAATCGTTTTATTTCTTTGCCATCCCTTTTATAATGACAAGACTTATAGTTTTCTTTGTCTAATAATTCACCACTAGTAGACTGACTTGATTTATATAAAGTGAATAATTCAAGATGAGCTGATGATTTGGTCTGTTGTGTATATTGAGGTTTATCTTGTTGATTCAAACACAAAAGTTGATGTAAAGGAGTTTGTGGTTGTGATTGTTCTTGTAGCTGATAAAGTAAAGCAAAAATATGGAGGAGTAAATGTGTTAAATGAATATTGTTTAAATCAGCTAAAAACTTTATATCCTCAGCTAGTGGATGGATAAGTAATTCTAACTTAGAGAAATCAGCAGCCAGAATTTGATACACTGCTCTATGACGTCTTTCTTGAACATTGGACTGCACCATTTTTCTACAGAATAGATCGCATCACAATTCTCCTTTCTGTATTGTTTCAATCATTCAGTTATATACTTTGATTGTAGTATATACTCTCGTGCACTTTAAAAATCCCTAAGAAAATGCTGAGAATTCCAAATTTCATCAACGTTGTTTGAAATGGAGTGATTATTATTATTATTTGCTATCAGTTTGACAATATGAGATAACTGTAGTTTAGTAGACTTGTATTATTGATACTAGGTGATGACTTAAGTTGAACTGAAAACCTGGTTCTCTGCAGGATTCCAACCGATGGTTTCTGAGTTACCGGCCCTGTGCTCTCGGACCTAAGCTTGTGGAATAGCTAGATCAGGAACCAAGACGTTACCCGTTCTAATTCTACCGCGGCCCAAATTTTCATCTTACCTCCAATCCTCACCTATTATTATAACATTCATGCAGGAAGTATAAAATCCAGCAGTGGAATTTTGCAGAGAAGCTTCAAGAAGTCCGTGCTTGTTGGTAATTATCGACAAGGTGTACCTGGATCTATGAGGAAACTGGTCTTCTCCCACTGATTCGAGCCTATCTCAGGCAGTAACGAATTCAGAGGCTTCGCTATTAAACTACTGAGGCCACAAATAACCTCATGTTTGACTGACAGTATTATACAAATGAATTAGTATCCGGTGGGTAATCGTGGTGTTTCCCCATGTTTTATGGTTGGGAGATGGTAGAGCTCACTCATTTTGGTAGTGCAACCATTTCCATATGAAGCTTGCTTAGGAGAATATTGACCATCACTTGTAAGTAGTGAGTTGACTTTGCAAAGGAAGCTGTGACTGTCTATCAAAGGATGAGTATAATGCACTGCAGTCCGTTCTGTCCTGTTATATGGCTGTGAGGTGTAGTCGTTAAAAGTAGAAGATATGAAGCAGTTACACGATTTTGATCATAGGTGTGTTCTCAGCATTGATCCTGTATACGCTATGTTGAGGTCAGGTGAAGGGTACTAGACAAGGTAAGCAAGTCCATTGATGACGTTGTGAAACTTAATCGCGGTAGGTGGCTTCCACATATATGGAGCATGCAGATCCACTGCCTACCTCGACGTACCATACTACGGGAAACTGGATGAGGTTAGAAGAGGGTCCGGGTGTCCAGACGAAGACGTGATGGCACCAGTCAATGAAGTCTGTGACTGTTGGTCGGATGTATGTTAGGGGATGTAGACTACCTAACTGGAATCCCTGAGACGATAAAAATCAGTGATTGAGGACTCTTAGTGACATGACCGAAAATTGGTCACAATGGTCCAGATATATTCACTCCTTGACATCTGTGGATTTATATTCAGATTGTTTATTACCTCACATAGCACAGTCTAGCTTTATGTCACTCTTTTCTTCGTAATCTACTGTGAATTATGGCAACTTGAACCATTAAACTTGTGTGTGAGGTTCTACGTTGATTTTGTCTGTCTGTCTAGGAGATAACTGGGTTAGCTATATAATCCTTACTAGTAAGTACTGACAAGAGTTCGTCGAACAATCTTCCAGTGTGGCTGGTAGGCTAAATTGAGATGACAGACTACAATGCTTTGTCGTTTTGTATTACTTTGGTGAAATGTAGACTTCAGTTGATGCTAGACAAGTCAATAGGTTATCCGCTGCCGAATTATTTGCATGCATACAGCTTCCTAAATAGCTCCAACGAACAATCAAAGATTATTCATGAAGTCGTATCATGTTTTGGTCCTGTCACCATTACACTTCCTTTTTCTTACTACTACCTTAAATAATACTGTACGCCATAGTAGAACGTTGCTGAATATGAGTAAGATTTATCGAAACTGTCTCAGTCTACGTAGGTTGATAATCTCGTTGATTGAAATGCACTTTTGACCTAGTTATCTGTATTCATCGTCTACGCTTCGCATGAAGTGATCACAACGTACCAAAATAATATCAGCCTGTAAACATCACGTTATTTCCTAGACAAATGTTTATTCAGTATGAACTTGGCTTAGGACACAAATATGGCGGAAAGAAATGACACGATTGTTGATAGGAAGTGGGTGAAAAGGAAATTAACATTTTAAGTCATCAGTGGCTAGGCTAAAGGCTTTTGTATTTCATGTCGCTGTATGGTCAATGTATGAAGTCTTTTTCTGTTGATTTAAACCATGTGGGCGATGCAGACTAGCCGGTTAGGGTCTGAGGGACAAGAGGAACCAGTGGTTGGAGACTCTAGGTAATACAGCTCAGAACCGATGTCAGTGCAGATGTATACATACATTATCCTCATCTTAACAACGCTATACCAAACCTCCCCAGTTTGTCATTCTTCCTTTCTCTCTTTTCGTCCTTTATATTTCTATTGAATGAATTTTCACATCTTAAACTTGCCCCTCACTGACTTTTTACTTGATGTAATGACATGAGTGGTGGCAAATCGAACCGTTACTCAGTAATGCCTGGTCCTATGTTGATACTGATGATGATGATGGTCAAGAAAAACCTTACTGGACAATTTTATCTTACAGTTGACCAGTCAGAAACAGCTATTTACTTTTTGACCTAGTGGTTTTATATACTCATGAAATTTCTACATAAATGATGTGTTTTTGTCGTATAAATAGTCTTTCTTACTGTCACAGTCGAGACTTTTCTTCTGAAATTTTCTTGGCTCACTGATGTATACAGTACTGAGGAAGAACGTTCGCTATTCATATCCACTCCAAGTATCTCACTGCGTTATTATCGTTAATTCATTTCTTTTTACTCACTCGGTCACTTCATTTACATACACCTATTCTAATCTATTCTTATGGCACTGCAAACAGATGATAGTACTTCAAAGATACAGAAGAATAGAGTGCACTTTAGTAGTAGCGACTGATAATGTCTAGTAGTGGTATCCAGCTTGACATGTGTTTCGTCCTATTTGGAACTTGCTAGCCGCAGATAGCTACCTCATAGTGAATGATGTTGTTCCCGCTAAGAGTCGAACCCAGGACCAGCTGTTTCAAATACCAGAGTGTTAAACACTAGGTCATTGAGTCACGATAGCCATTTCTTTTTCGACAGGTATAACAATGAATCAAAAGAAAGAGTATGGAGAAGTGACCAACACTACTTAACATGTCAGTTGTAATAATTGTGAACACTACTGTGTGACAATCAAGCCGAGTAGTATGACAACGCCTGTACAGACACACTTGGGCTGTTAAGCGTCGTCATAGGAAGCTTCTCATCTCAATACAACTGTTACTATTCTAAGTGTCTGTGTGGATTATAACAAATACAAGAACGATAATAATACGATGAGACACTTGGAGTGGACATGAATAAAGACTATTCTCCCTCAGAAACTTATACTTCGCTGAGCCGCGAAAATCAGAAGACAAAGACTGGCCTGTGACTGCAAGGAAAATAATATGTTCCACAAAAACATATCATTTATATACAGTTTTCTTGAACCACTAGGTCAAAAACTATATAGCTGTTTCTGAATGGTCAGCTGTAGGATAAAATTGTCCAATAAAGTTTTTCCTGACAACGTGGTAACATGAAACAAAGATTGAAATCCAAAAGTTCTATCTTAGTGGCTGATGACTTAAAATGTTGATTTCCATTTACGCCGCTTCCTATACCAATTACAGCTATACATTAGAATAGGACAACTTCAAATACTTGAAAGCTACCCTGAGATCTCCTGTAGATCTGGAAGTGAATTAACAATGAATAACCTTATTGATCTGAATGCAACATACGAGCCCATTCGACACAAATTATTTACAAGAAGTGACTGATTCAGATGCAAGGAAACCCTCTATATGAGTAAAAAGGAGACCATCAATTTTTTAGATCAAGATAAGTTACTTATAACTAATCAAACTCCTGCAGTTAATCAGTCAATACGAAGAGAACCTCTCTCTTCAGTAAAATCTAACCAAATAGAAATAGCTGGATCAAATCAGTCAATCAACATACAACATCGCCTCCAAGATATAAAAGTCAACTAAACAAATCATGACATTCCACATCACTTCAGTCAAGCAAAAGCATCAAAGAATCAAAGCAAAGCGACCTACATCGACTGATTTTAAACTAAAATTGCCATCAAGCCACAATGAAGTAAGTTTAACGTGTTACTGGCGTACAGAAGAAATCAAACAAGTACATAGTTGGACACTCTTATGATATAAACAGAGGAAGGAAGTCAACCAGTTAGGTTTAGTCTGCACCCACATACTCAACAACCAACCAATCAGGTTGAGTAGCACGCTATAGGTATTCATGCACAACCAACTGATTTACTTCCATGTGAAGAAGCTGTGATGTGCTACTGATGGCGAAATCTAAGAAGACACCGAAACGCTTGCCTGTAAAACTCTAGATCAGAGAACAAACTACCCTGAGCTATAAATATTCACTTCAAGGGGAAAAATGTCCTCTTGTCAAATAAAAAGCAACAGTGTACTCACCACAAAACCGTTTTCATGTTTAGCTCTTTTTGGTGCACTGCCTTTGAAGTGTTTCCGTTTCTGCTCACGTCTCCATGCTTGTGATTTAACTGAAAATTGTTGACCTGAACCTTGAGCCCCGATTATCGAAAAAACATTTTTATCTGGCGTACATCGTTGTTCAACGCTATGACATGGATAAGAACACGATTTCCTATCATTGTCATCATTAACCAAATGAGCCCGTAACATTCGACTAGGTAGAGTGGCTTCTTTTAATGAATTACTTGAGACATGTGGTGTAAATGTTGAACTGTTATCATTTACAGGTCTAACTGAGAAACTTCGCCTCAGATTGCCTATAAAAACGAAAACAAGCATAAAAATGATTTTAGAAAAAAAGGCGTACAAGGATACAAAAATATTCCTAGTGAGATAAGACCAGATGCTTGAGGTAATGGAGAGTTACGCTTCCCCAGTCAAACACTCATCACCAGTGTGCGCAGGTGATCACATCACCGAACAAACCTGTATCTCTTACTGTTGTCGTAAGAGGCATGTAGACATTTCCCCATTGGGTTGTAATTCTCCAATACATGCTTCCCAACTGTCAACCATTCCTGATAAATAAATTCATCACTTCTTAGAAGTAATTCCCTCCTACGATGGGTTCCCCGAGTGTCATCACAGAAACCATTGCCTTTATAGTCAACAAAATGGAGGATGGATCCCTACTTGTGATATTGTAGAATGGTTGTATTACACCACTGATGGACAGAAGTTGTTAAAGGTAGCCCAGTGGATAACAGCTTATTGTTTGAATGTTAGTATGCTCACCAAAATGACTGACGGCTTTGGGTTCGGTCTCACATGGGACCATAGGTGCACGCTACTGAAGCATCTCTGACCAGGACGGAACAGTTTTTTATTGCTTCTTCCCATGCAATGCACTTTTTCAAAATTGGTGTCAGCCACTAACAGAAAAATTGAGAAGTTAGTCGATAACCCTGTACATTCTTGAGCATAACCGCGTTATAACTTACTGGATTGGAATGGGAAATACAACTATTGATCTCGTGTGGAATTTTATCTTAGTGGTTGTGGGGAGGGGAGGAGGGGAGGATTTGCTCTGATGCTTGAAAGTTAGACTCAATCATACTTTGATGACTATTTGTACAATGTGACTGCACAAATATTTATTTTCAATTGGCTACACACCCATCGATGGCGCTACGAAAATATATAAAATTAAAAACCAGCTGAGTCGCGATAGTTCCTTCATAATAGGTTACAATCTCAAATAATCAACTGGGTTGTAATGAATCAAAGTAATTAAAACTTTAGCTGATTCTTCTTATTTGCCATCTGTCCCTTGCGTTCGTAGTGGAACATAGGGCTTCAGTAGCACATCTCCATTCCACTCTCTTCTCTGCAATCTTTTCAACCTGGCTCCATGACTCCCGCGAGCTTTCATTTCTTCCTCACATGATCTCCTCCATGTCACCCTCGCCTCAGACGCCCAACTCGCCGTTTCCCATCTGGATTCCACTCGACTGCCTGGCGCGTGATGTCTCCGAACGGTCTTCTCGGCTCATGCCCAATCCATCTCCACTTCCTTCTGCATATTTGTCAGGCGATGGGTTCTTGGTTGGTTCGTTGCCAGAGTGAGTTCCTTGTTGCTTATTCTCTCTGACCATCTGAGCTTCAGTATCGAGCGCAGGCAGTTGTTGATGAATGTCTGCAGTTTGTTGGAAGTGCTTTTCGTGACACGCCAAGTTTGTAAACCATCACATAGAAGCACTGACTTGAGATTGGCGTTGAAAATGCGGATCTTGTCCTTTGTGCTGAGTGCAGTAGATCTCCACACTGATTTCAGATTAATGAAAGCCTGTCTTGCTTTTCCGATCCTGGTTTTGACATCTTCGTCTGTGCCACCGCCTGTCGTTGAAACGATGCTGCATAGATAGGTGAAGGAGGCTACTTCCTTCAAGTTTCTCCCGTTGATGGTGATTGGTGCTTATTGTTGTTGTTGTTGTTGCTGTTGTTGGCGTTGGCGTTGGCGTTGGCGTTGGCGTTGGTTGGGTATCTTTATCACCTCTGTCTTCTCCACGTTCACTTGAAGTCCTGTCTTCGCTACCCTGCCTCTTCTGTCAACTTGTTAGTTTTCGCCTGTAGATCTTCAAGTTTGTGCGACATTAGACACAAGCCATTGGCGAAATCCAAATCTTCTAGGGTATTTTCTTCGGTCAAACAGCGTATACCCGTCTCCTCACTCCTCACAGTTTGTTGTATGATCCAGTCCAGCCGAGTCAACCACAATCAGGAATATCATGGGGATAGTAGGCAACCTTGTCTTACTCCTGTCTTCACTGAGCTTCCCATTGTGAATAACTTGGTATGTGGCGTCTTCATGTAGTTGTTGAATGAGGCTGATAAAGGTTTGTGGTATTCCGTAGTGTTGAAGCAGTTGCCAAATTACTTGTCGGTCGACGCTGTCAAAGGCCTTCTCAAAGTCGATGAAGTTGAGGTAGAGGGTTGACTGCCATTCTATACTCTGTCCTACGATGATGATGTGAAGTGTAGCGTTGCAATTTGGTCCGCACATGATTTGTACTTCCTGAAGCCAGCCAGACTGTTCGGGTCGTAGTTTTGAATCCAGCGAGGTATTGGCTAATTACATGGTAAAATTTGTGAAATTTTAAACAGGTTGTTGTGTTTAATTTGAACTATGATCAAGATTTGACCGAATACTGTTGCAAATATTGGGTATTGAGTAAAAGGTTGACATTAGATATACTACATTTGTGTACATCACCGCTTGTTTGAAATGAAATAGTTCTAACGTTTCGTATAAAAGTCTGGTCCCATCTTCTTCAGGGAGATAATCGAAATAACCAAGGAATGTGTAAAGGAGTCCAAAGTTGTGTGTTTAATCTCCTTATCCGGTCTTCTGTGGACAGTCACTGTTTTCTAAGATGCGATTACTAATCAAGCAGTGTGAAACTGTTGATATCGTGTTATATGAATAACGTGTTTGCTTTACTATTCATACTCTCCTTGATTGTAAATATAAGACGAAAAGATCACATGTTACATTATAGCCATTAGACAATTTTATAATAAGATAGGAACACACATACAATGGTTAGCAGTATTATTTTAGAAAGATAGTAACTATCCGAAGAGGATTTTGGATTCCTTTATCTATTATTGATATTTCAATTCTGATTACTTCCCTGAAAAGGCTAAGTTCAGACTTCCGTGAGAAAGGTTATAATTATTTCATTTCAAACACGCTGTGACTTACAAAAAATACAAACAATAATTAAGGTTTACTTGACTTTGTCTAGCCGAGGCATCCAGGACGCACGTTTCGTCCCATTTGGGACTCGTCAGCTAGATTCTTTTGCTAGCCACAACCAAAGAAATCATATCAATAAGTATTCAAGCAGTATCGAGGTATCTGCACAACAGCCCATATACCAACAGAGGTTCATCAATTCGATTCAGTATAACAACGGAAAATTACAAGCATATCATCATATCACTAAGGTTTCTGTATAATTGATAGTTTGTAAAATAGTAGCTAACTCAAAGACAAGAGAAGGTGAATTGTTATGTCAAATGGTCAATTGTTAACCGTAATAAGAGACAAAAGCAGGGAAAGCAAAATGGTCAAAACTTTAATAATATTAATAATAATAATAATGTTTCTTCAGGTTTATGGGGATTTTATTTTTGAGGTAGTATTCATCACTAACGAATTTCAGTGGGAAACCTGGGAGCACTGGACAGATGCTCCATTGTAGTATGAGACTCCTCAGTAATACACACCCAGGACCCGGCTAAGGATCGTCCCCTTAACAAATAGTCATCAAAGTATGATTGAGTCTAACTTTCAAGCATCAGAGCAAATCCTCCCCTCCTCCCCTCCCCACAACCACTAAGATAAAATTCCACACGAGATCGATAGTTGTATTTCCCATTCCAATCCAGTAAGTTATAACGCGGTTATGCTCAAGAATGTACAGGGTTATCGACTAACTTCTCAATTTTTCTGTCAGTGGCTGACACCAATTTTGAAAAAGTGCATTGCATGGGAAGAAGCAATAAAAAACTGTTCCGTCCTGGTCAGAGATGCTTCAGTAGCGTGCACCTATGGTCCCATGTGAGACCGAACCCAAAGCCGTCAGTCATTTTGGTGAGCATACTAACATTCAAACAATAAGCTGTTATCCACTGGGCTACCTTTAACAACTTCTGTCCATCAGTGGTGTAATACAACCATTCTACAATATCACAAGTAGGGATCCATCCTCCATTTTGTTGACTATAAAGGCAATGGTTTCTGTGATGACACTCGGGGAACCCATCGTAGGAGGGAATTACTTCTAAGAAGTGATGAATTTATTTATCAGGAATGGTTGACAGTTGGGAAGCATGTATTGGAAAATTACAACCCAATGGGGAAATGCCTACATGCCTCTTACGACAACAGTAAGAGATACAGGTTTGTTCGGTGATGAGATCATCTGTGCAGACTACTGATGACTGTCGGAAGTTTTTTTCGTTTGCCCCGTGCTTTTCGAATGTATATATATATATATATATATATATATATATATTTGCTTGCCTGTACCTGAGAACAGTGTTACGAAGATATTGTTAGCTTATCGAATAGTCACATAAAACCAACATTTAATGCCTTGTTAGTGAACAACTGATCAAGTTGTCACACCTAGCATAAATTGCCAAAAGGTGTGCAACAACTAAGTGGAATTTGAGAACAATTGGTTAAAGAGGATATTGGGTGGAGTTCGCCCTCTATTATGAACTGACAGAAATAGGAAATGTGGGCCACTGGATTCCGATCCTGTAGTATAATGGTAACTTATTGGCCGTGTAACTTGGATATACCACGTTTGATCACTGATGGGTTCATAGGTACACACTTCTTAGGGGTTCCATATTAAAACGAGATAGCTATCCAGTGCTACCAAGTTTCAAGTTGTTCTCCAACTTATGTAAATCAGTGATAAGTTCCACTCTAAAATCCATAAATGAATTCCTACAAACCTCCAAAACTGAAATGTGACTAACTTATTTATAAATCGTGAGAGGCATTTATGTGAAAACCTCTCCCGGTTAACTAGTTCACTAGTTACTAGCCGGTCCTAAGCCCGCATAAAGAGGGAAGGTTGGGCATAGGGCTAGCAACCCTACCCCGTAAAACAAATCCAACCGCTAAAGAAACTTCAAAGCACATAGAAAATATTAAAAATAAAAACAAACTTATTCCTCGCTGGAATCGGAGAGGCGAAATGACCCCGGTTGGTGAAAGCCCTTGAGAAGCCAGTTGGCCGATTTGTCTTCTCTCGATGAAAGCGAAAGTGAAAGTGGGGACATGGAATGTCCGCACCATGTTTGAACCCAGCAAGGCAGCCCAGATTGCAAAAGAGATGAGAAGGTATCAGAGTGAAGTGCTTGGAATTTGCGAAAGCAGATGGAATTGGAGTGGACTCTCCAAACTGTCAACTGGAGAATCAGTAATCTACTCCGGTCACCCAGATGACAAACACGAGCACACTGAGTTTTGCAGTGCCCATCATGATGTCCCCAAGAGCATGGAAGGCTGTCTCTCATGCAGTGGGAACCAATCTCCTCACGTCAGGATCATGACAGCAAGGTTCAACTCAAAAGGGAGGAATATCACAATCATACAATACTACGCTACGCACCTACAAATAACGCAGATGAAGAGAAGAAGGAGGAACTCGACAGACAACTGCAATCAACACTGGACAAGACCCCACCTCAGATGGCGACATCAAAATTCTAATGGGTGGGGTGACATGAATGCCAAACTGGGAGCAGACAACACAGGAAGAGAACTAACCATGGGCCGAGAAGCGCTAGGTGGAATGAACGAGAATAGAGAATTGTTTGTAGAATTCTGTGCATTCAACGATTTGGTGATTGCAGTGAGGCAGTGTGTTCAAGCACAAGGATATCCACAAAGCGATATAGATTTGATTTCACCAGATGGACACAGTGCACTAAAAATCAGATCGACTTTATCTCAATCTCAAGAAAGTGGAGACGCAGTCTACTTGACACAAGGTCAAGAAGAGGAGCAGATGTAGAATCACACCACTCACTATCTAGTGCAAGGAACCTAACTTCCAAATCAAGTTGAGAGTCTTCAAGGAAGCTGGTGACAGACCACAGTTCAAGTACAACACTCGGAAACTGAAGGACGAAACTACGAAGAAAGTCTTCACGTCAGCCATCAAGACAAAATGGGAGATATCGAGGAACATCCCTGAAGAAACCTGTGTGGAAGAACACTGGAGGTCTTGGAAAGAGATGTGGAGAGAAACCTGCATAACCGTATTAGGAAGGAAGAAGAAAGAAGACAAGGAATGGATCTCGACGGATACATGGAAGCTGATAGGATAGGGAGAGGAGGATGGTGAAACAGAAGATAAACCAGTGCAAAGATGCACAACGAGAAGAGGAACTGAGTACAATGTATAAAACACTGGTCAAAGAAGTGAAGAAGAGTGCGCGGAAAGACAAAAGACACTTCTACGAAACACTGGCAAGTGAAGCAGAACAGGCTGCAGGCAGGAGAGACAGAGACCTGATAACATTGTATCAAATAACCAGGTTACTATCCGGGAGGGGAGAGATCAACGCAGACGAAACCAATAAAAGATGATGAAGGAGATATAATTACGAAAGAAGAGAAACAAAGGAGAGGATGGGCCGACCACTTCAAGAAGCTCTTGAATCGACCACCACCACCACCTGCACTTCGTCCAGAAATACCACCTGCAGCCCAGCCACAGAACTACAAGTGAACATAAATCCCCAACAAAAATGGAAGTCCTGAACGCCATAAAGCTACTGAAATGCGGGAAAGCAGCAGGACCAGATGGAATACCGCCAGAAGCACTGAGAACAGACGCATAGACAACAGTGGACATGCTCACACAACTATTGCAGAAGGTGTGGAAGGAAGAGAAGGTACCTGGCTAGTGATTGGAAGAAGAGTTACCTTGTCAAACTCCCAAAGAAAGGCGACCTAAGTGTTTGCAAGAACTGGCGCGGAACCACGCTCCTGTCCGCCCCAAGCAAAATGTTATGCCGCATCATCCTGGAGAGACCAACAGTGCGCTGGATTCAAAACTACGACCCGAACAGTCTGGCTGGCTTCAGGAAGTACAAATCATGTGCGGACCAAATTGCAACGCTACACTTCACATCATCATCATCATAGGACAGAGTATAGAATGGCAGTCAACCCTCTACCTCAACTTCATCGACTTTGAGAAGGCCTTTGACAGCGTCGACCGACAAGTAATTTGGCAACTGCTTCAACACTACGGAATACCACAAACCTCTATCAGCCTCATTCAACAACTACATGAAGACGCCACATACCAAGTTATTCACAATGGGAAGCTCAGTGAAGACAGGAGTAAGACAAGGTTGCCTACTATCCCCATGATATTCCTGATTGTGGTTGACTCGGCTGGACTGGATCATACAACAAACTGTGAGGAGTGAGGAGACGGGTATACGCTGTTTGACCGATGAAAATACCCTAGAAGATTTGGATTTCGCCAATGGCTTGTGTCTAATGTCGCACAAACTTGAAGATCTACAGGCGAAAACTAACAAGTTGACAGAAGAGGCAGGGTAGCGAAGACAGGACTTCAAGTGAACGTGGAGAAGACAGAGGTGATAAAGATACCCAACCAACGCCAACGCCAACGCCAACGCCAACGCCAACAACAGCAACAACAACAACAACAATAAGCACCAATCACCATCAACGGGAGAAACTTGAAGGAAGTAGCCTCCTTCACCTATCTATGCAGCATCGTTTCAACGACAGGCGGTGGCACAGACGAAGATGTCAAAACCAGGATCGGAAAAGCAAGACAGGCTTTCATTAATCTGAAATCAGTGTGGAGATCTACTGCACTCAGCACAAAGGACAAGATCCGCATTTTCAACGCCAATCTCAAGTCAGTGCTTCTATGTGATGGTTTACAAACTTGGCGTGTCACGAAAAGCACTTCCAACAAACTGCAGACATTCATCAACAACTGCCTGCGCTCGATACTGAAGCTCAGATGGTCAGAGAGAATAAGCAACAAGGAACTCACTCTGGCAACGAACCAACCAAGAACCCATCGCCTGACAAATATGCAGAAGGAAGTGGAGATGGATTGGGCATGCACTGAAAAGGCCGACTGGAGACATCACGCGCCAGGCAGTCGAGTGGAATCCAGATGGGAAACGGCGAGTTGGGCGTCTGAGGCGAGGGTGACATGGAGGAGATCATGTGAGGAAGAAATGAAAGCTCGCGGGGAGTCATGGAGCCAGGTTGAAAAGATTGCAGAGAAGAGAGTGGAATGGAGATGTGCTACTGAAGCCCTATGTTCCACTATGAACCCAATGGACAAATAATAATAATAAAGCTGTGAATACGAATGTACACCATGTGAAAGCGATTCATCGAAAAGGGAAATTTTTTTACTAAGCTGTCTTTCAATTATAATTTTCATCAGAGATAGAATGCGTGGCCTGTTGAATTGATGATTAAAACAAAAAAGGGTGGAGGGATATTGGAATCAGTAATCTTGTGATTTTTCAACGACGAGTATTTTGAGCACTTTTACTAATCAAGGTGCATCTCTTAAACTCATTTACACTTACCAAATTGTAAATGTTCACCACCCTTTGAAAAACCAGTGGTTGTTTTAAATTTTGACTGTTCTTTCAGTGAAAATGGATCTGAACGGCTAACGTTTGATTCAAAATATGATTGTTGAGTGGGTTTTTGACGAATTGTAGGGGAATTAAATTGTTTTGATAATTTATCCACAGGTATAACTAATGTGTTTGGTAATTGGACTAGACTACGGTTAATTGGATATTCGTACAAGTATTGACTACATAGGGGTCGTGATTTTTGGGTTTCTTTCAAATGATACAGAGAACTCTGGTTTACTGATTGGTTCCAAGCTGGACTAGAGTCAAGTTTGTGAATATAACCTAAAGGTTTTGTTGCACGGTCAAATATTTCAGCTAATCCACTTGTTGTAGACTTCAACACGTCATGTTTAATGTCAGCAGTCTGCTGGCCTTGTTCTTGTCTTACTACATCACCATCACCATCGTCATCATCATCATCATCATCAACAACTTCTGTTTGTTCAACTAGAGTTCCTTCTAACTTTGTCTCACTATTTAAACAAGAATTGCTACAATTTAGAAAGGTACAATTTGACGAAGTTTTTAACGGTTTGATATCTTCGTTTTTTAATGTATCAGTTACATTGGTTGCTGGTGTCAGTGTTGTCGTGTATACAGGTGTAGAGCATGTGACAACACTTGAAACATTGAACGGCACCAATTTATATTGTGACTTTTGATTGACATCGTCCGGATAATTTACGGTTTCACATTTACAGTCAATGATTTGAAAAGATTTCAGATTGGACAATGAACTGACGATTCCAATGCTGTAATTAGTGAAGTGCCAGATTCGAACAGAATACTGTTACAAACACTTCCAAAATTGGGATGATTCTGTTTTTTAGATCTATTCACTAGTGTCATTCCAGCTGAAATGAGACCACAAATAGCACAGAATCCAAGTAAACCAGCAATAATAGGCGTATGATGATGAAATTCGTCATCATCTTCAGATGATGATGATGATGATGATGATATACTTTCAGCTTTCTCGGTGGTTATCACTCCTTCAGTTGTTTGAATAAACATTTCTGTAAAATAAAGAAGGTAAGTTAGCGTGATAGTTAACTGTGTAATAACAAAATACATGCATAAACTGGTAATGTGTCACGTTTTCCATATGGAGTCTAACTATTGAATGAATTCAAGGAAATTTGGTCAAACTCACATTGTTTCATGGAACTATCAATGTTTAGCCATTGAAAATTAAACTATCAGTTGCTTGAAATCGGTTATTATTAGTTTCAAATAAAGGATGCTCTGAGAATCTTTAGTTATAGATAAATGACCATGATACTCGTGATGGCCATGAATGTGATTGTATATTTTCTACGCATGTTTCATGTTTTAAGAAGACGATGTAATAGTTATTTAGGTATTTTGAGTGTCAGTGCTCTCTGTGATTCACGAATTGAACAGTTTTTTTTACTTAACTGTTCTTCAACTAAAATCATTTGAGTGGAAATTGAAAATCAATTAGTTCTGCAAAACGGACCCATTATTCTCTGGTTTCTCAGTGACCACTTCAAAAACGGCAGATTGGTCTGCTAATAATCTTGGTGACAGCTAACTGACTGTTAGTTTCTATTTAATTCTTCAAATCGATAAAAGTGGTATTCATCATGAACTGGTATCAGTTAGTGAACTATTGGGAACCTGGGAGCACTGGACAGGTACTTCGTTGTTTTATAGGACCCCTCAGCAGTGCGCACCCATGACCTCGCCATAGGTTGAGCTCAAATGCTTCAGGTTCCGTGGCAAGCTCGTTCCTGCTGAGGCAGAGTCAGATGGTCAACGTTTTTCTGCCTCTGTCAGTTCATGATGTAGCGTGACCTCAATCCAATGCCATCACTGAATAACTGTCCTGATGTCCTTTTTGGTTGACTCCACAGGTCATGACTTCTCACTAGAACTTCTAGGATCTCTTCTGAGGAAAGTCACTAATGAGCAATACAGAGCAGTTCATTTTGAAGATTTGTGAGGATTTATTTATTTATTTCAGGTCGGTATTCATCACGGACTGATATCAGTTGGAGAACTATTGAAAAATAGTCCTAATTAGTAACACGCTTTGAGATGAATATGAAGAGGTCCTAATGAGATACCATGACCTATGGCGTCAGCTTGTCAGAAATGAAGTGGATGTCAGCTAAATATCTTGGCAGATAGTCACGGTTTATCGCAAGGATTGACAGAAGCAGGAAAATGTAAACCACTGAATTCTGACCCACTGGCTTACTTGTTAACTAGTTCGCCATGAAAGCTGAAGGCCCTGGGTTCGATCCCTGGCAGGGTCGTGAGTACGAACTTCTGAACAATCCCGCACCAGGGTGAAACAGATGTCCAGTGCTCCCAGGTTTCTAGTGATTTACAAACTCATCAGTATAACAGGCAACAGGACAGACAGACAGACAGAATCAACTCAGAACCTCACACACAAGTGCATCGGTTCAAGCTGCCGCAATTCACAGTAGTATACGAAGAACAAGTAGATACAGAAAGACCGATGTAAATGTAGACAAAATAGTGTGAGATAATAAACAATTTGAACATGAAGACTGGTGCAAATATTCAAGTTTTAGAAAATGTTAAGGAGTGAATACATCTCGGCCACTGTGACCAATTTTCAGCCATGCCACTGAATCATTTCGTCTCGGGGACCCAAACCAGGTAGTCTGCATCTCCCCACATGGCTCATAACAACAGTTAGGGACTTCATGGACTGTTATCACGTTAATGTCAACTGCACCACATAGAACTAGTTGTTCTCATTATTCCATATTATCACAAATATGATAGGAATGCTTCGTGAAACTCAACTTCTGTTGATTGCTTGGACAGGCATGGGAAAGAGAATGAATGAGATTGTTACAGGGTGAGTTAACTTTCTTGGAAGTGTGATGGAATATTTATGCACCATTTAGTCTTAACATGAAAGTTGTGTAAAAGCAAAACTCATTCCCCAGTTTGGTGGTTAATAGGAAGTAGATTGATTTCAAGGTGGTATTCAACATGAACCGACGTCAAACTGAAATCAATCAGAAATTAGCTACAGGTCATGTGATGCATTCAGTGATATGGTTATCGTTTCAGAAGCAATATAATTTTCTTAAAAGCTGTTTGTATAAACTGCTGGTAGTTAGCAGTATGCATAAAATATGAATACACAACGTTTCCCTGATAATTGTAGAAAATGCTTAGGTGTCACTGAGTGTTTGAATAAGTTGTTTTGTCTTTTACTCAATAAACTAAACATATTATTCGATCAAACAACTCACTTTTTGGGGAATACTGGTCACTGTAACCTTGACTGAAATCAGTTTGTTGTTTTCATTGGCTTGTCGATAAACACTATTGTCTATACACTAAGAAAATGTCCTCTTTCTTGTTTACTTGAACACTACACATCTTGCAGTTTTGACCGAAATACTATTCGATACACTCTCTTTAAATGCCTTTTATTGTATACGACTTATTATTTCTGCATTTTGCAGTCAAATGAAGGCGCTAAATTTAGGCTTACCGGTATTAAAGCGTTTAAAGAACGTGAACGCACAAGTGACCTTGAACAATCGATGACATAGTTATTGAATTGATCAATAGGATATCAGCAATGAACGTTTATATTCACTGTACTCAGTATTTCGCTTATAATGTAGCGGGTCGATTTATCAAAGATTACAATGCATACAGATGGATATTCCACTAATACACACTTGTCACCCTTGAATTACATACATAATGGTGTCTATTAACCACTGACATAAATTCTAAGACCCGAAACATGTATATATAAACTCCATAGTTGTTCAGTGTGATGTAATGCTTAGTCTTGATAAAATACTGACATTTCGATGGAAAGCATACAACTGAAATACCTGTAGTGAACGTGTATGAGAGAATTACCCAGTGTGTGATATTTTTCATATATTGCAGGTAAATGTCCTCATCTCCCTATCTATGTCATCTTGATTTGGAGTAGGATGAGAAGAACTAGTTGCGGAGATAGTGTGATTACGAATTATGAACAGTTATGTGTTACGCTACCAGGTGATTGTTTGGAAAAACTGTAGGTGACTGAAGTGAAGTTAAGACTTGACTGGAAGCTGGGTTTGGTCTGAGACTGGTTTGAACCCTGCAGCTACCCTCATGTCTTTATCTCACCCTTATTAATCATCAACTCACATAAATAATACAAATCCACCAAACCAAAGACTGTCTCATATAGTCTCGCCAATAAGCAAAGCGAATTTCATGATCTTTTATTACTTTTCCACACAGAGACAACACATTATTTCCTGTAAACAAAACTTGGATTGCAGTGCAACTCGATTTTATTAACCGCTGTTAAATTAGGCACGAATAATACTTTGTCAGAAAGGTATTTCTCAAGACTAGCAAAGTCGTGCTCATCAAACAGATTGATGAAGAATCATATCTCATTGAGAAGTGTCTGTAGGTAAATTTTCCTATTCAGGAGTTTTTACATAAAGAATAAAGTCTTCAGTATACGCAACTTACGGACAATAAATTTTGTTTTTATATATATCACTGGAACGAGCAAAAGTCCATAGATATCGACCTGATTTTATCTTAGACTCTATCTACCGGATACACACAGGTATACCTGCCAGCCTATGCCCACTTGAAGGAGGGAAAATGGGTTGTAACAGGATTGATTGAATCTATCTCAATTACATAGTTTAAAAATACACTTACCAGACAGTCTATATTTGAATCAAATAATAGCAAAAGATGTTGAAATCTAGCTGATTTTAAGGTGATGACAAGTGACCCTTAGGACGTTTCCTAAGTCATCTCTTTATGCTCGTCACTATAGGCCATAATTAGAGTTTAACAAACTTAGTAATCATTGTATTTTTTCTGCAAAGATGAAGCCTTTGTTTGACATAAATGAGCAATGTGGAGATCAGGCTGAGGGTACTTAAAAAGGCAGACTAGTCGATCGATGAGGTTGTGACTAAGGTGGCTTGTACATGTACTGCGCATACCAAGCCACCGCCTACCTCAATGTCCAATGCTAGGGGAAGTTAGATTACATTGGGTGAGGGTTCAGGGTGGCCAAACCAAGACGTGCCACCAATGCATGAAGTGCCTGGCTTTTAATCTGAGTAGCTCAGTAAGGTGTAGACTTCTAGGCTGGGGTTCCTCAAGACGAAAGGAATTAGTGGCTTAGGACTTTGATGTAATGGCTAAAAATTGGTTGCAATGGCACAGAAGTATTCACTCCTTGACGTCTTCTAAATGTTGAATGTTTTGACTAACCTTAATTTTTAGATCTCCTCTCCTTCCATACACTTTTATCTACTTTGATATCAGTCTTTCCTATCCACTTGTTCTTTGTATGCTAATGTGAGGTGTGGAAACTTGAGACGATACATTTGTGTGCGAAGTCCTATGTAGATTTTGTCCGTCTGCCTGTCTGATATAAGTGACAGCACAGAAAGTTTTATGCTACTACTGAAGTTTTGATTCCGTCCTGTTGTTTCATCTCACTTCAACTCATTTCAATTTCACTTACTTATCAATACTCCGAATATATTTTAAAAAACTACCTAATTTTTACCATTCCATTTATCGACTCCTTTTATTTGTCATAGTGAGTGCTGACTATGAAAGTGTTGAATAACTCATATGTCTTCTTTTACACAACTCTTTCTTAATCAGTAGAACTTCGCCGCTATCCATTCGTTAAACAGAAAACCATCAGTTGATAGAAGTAGGAAAAAGTGGACCACTGGGTTCCCACCCTGACGAAAGGGTCAACGTCTTCGCCATCAGACCTGAAGACTACCGGTTCCACCCGTAGTGACCTTATCGGCACTTACACATTATTTATTACTATTATTTGTCCATTGGGTTCATAGTGGAACATAGGGCTTCAGTAGCACATCTCCATTCCACTCTCTTCTCTGCAATCTTTTCAACCTGACTCCATGACTCCCGCGAGCTTTCATTTCTTCCTCACATGATCTCCTCCATGTCACCCTCGCCTCAGACGCCCAACTCGCCGTTTCCCATCTGGATTCCACTCGACTGCCTGGCGCGTGATGTCTCCGGTCGGCCTTTTCGGCGCATGCCCAATCCATCTCCACTTCCTTCTGCATATTTGTCAGGCGATGGGTTCTTGGTTGGTTCGTTGCCAGAGTGAGTTCCTTGTTGCTTATTCTCTCTGACCATCTGAGCTTCAGTATCGAGCGCAGGCAGTTGTTGATGAATGTCTGCAGTTTGTTGGAAGTGCTTTTCGTGACACGCCAAGTTTGTAAACCATCACATAGAAGCACTGACTTGAGATTGGCGTTGAAAATGCGGATCTTGTCCTTTGTGCTGAGTGCAGTAGATCTCCACACTGATTTCAGATTAATGAAAGCCTGTCTTGCTTTTCCGATCCTGGTTTTGACATCTTCGTCTGTGCCACCGCCTGTCGTTGAAACGATGCTGCATAGATAGGTGAAGGAGGCTACTTCCTTCAAGTTTCTCCCGTTGATGGTGATTGGTGCTTATTGTTGTTGTTGTTGTTGTTGTTGGTTGTTGGTTGGCGTTGGCGTTGGCGTTGGCGTTGGCGTTGGTTGGGTATCTTTATCACCTCTGTCTTCTCTACGTTCACTTGAAGTCCTGTCTTCGCTACCCTGCCTCTTCTGTCAACTTGTTAGTTTTCGCCTGTAGATCTTCAAGTTTGTGCGACATTAGACACAAGCCATTGGCGAAATCCAAATCTTCTAGGGTATTTTCATCGGTCAAACAGCGTATACCCGTCTCCTCACTCCTCACAGTTTGTTGTATGATCCAGTCCAGCCGAGTCAACCACAATCAGGAATATCATGGGGATAGTAGGCAACCTTGTCTTACTCCTGTCTTCACTCGAAAGGCGTCGCTGAGCTTTTCATTGTGAATCAATTGGCATATAGCGTCGTCACATAGCTGTTGAATGAGGTTGATGAGGGTTTGTGGCACTAAAACGTAATATTGAAGCAGCTGCCTGACAGATTACTTCTCGATCGACGCTGTCGAAGGCCTTTTCAAAATCGATGAATTTGAGGTAACGAGTTGACTGCCATTGTATACTCTGTTCTACGATGATGCGTAGCGTAACGTTGCAAATGATGCCACATGATTTGTACTTCCTGAATTCAGCCTGTTCCGGCCGTAATTTTGAATGCAAAGCATTGTTTAGTCTTACCAGGATGACGCGGCTTAGTATTTCGCTTGGGGTGGACAGGAGCATGGTTCCGCGCCAGTCCTTACAAAGGATTAGGTTTCCCTTCTTTGGGAGTTTGACAAGATACCCGTTCTTCCAATCGATCAGCAGGTACCTTTCGTTCCTTCCTTCAAAACCTTCTGTAATAGTGACTTGAGCTTATCCGCTGATGTCTCTGGGTCTATTTTCAATGCTTCTGGTGGAATTCCATCTAGTCCTGCTGCTTTTCCGCCCTTCAGCAACTTTACGGCGTTCAGAACTTCGGCTTTTTTCGGAGGGCTAGGACGAAACAGTTGTCCAGTTATCTCAGGTTTTCAATGGTTCTCTAAATGATGTCGGTCTGTGACAGCAGTTAGTAGTCAGTGAAAACATGTTACGTCGGTGCAGGGATAAGTAACGTAAGAAAATCAGGTATATATTGGGACAGATAATGCTACTGATACTAACAATGGCATTAACTATGAGATCAATTAACCGAAATAGGTATGGAAGAAAACCCTAGTTACAAGGTAGGAATGGTTTTTGAAGGCAAAGAGGGAATTTCTAAGAGTAAATATGGTCAGACAACGTTTCAACAATCGCCATGGTAGATTCAGGTTAACTACCATTTCCTTTTGCACTGAGAGGTTTGGTTTGGCAAGCTTTATAGCATTAACTTCTCCAATCATAAGGTCAAGTATCTCCGTGGTTATGTCACTAACTATAACAATGCTTAATTTGTGTCCAAACCTTGGGGGGGGGGGACAACGATTCCACGAGGGTGCAGATACGCGTTGCTGACGAGTGCCAGTAAGAATGAAACCTACACCCAGGGCCTTTTGTCGATCACGTTTTAAACACCATTTAACATTCACCAAACTGCACCAATATGGTGAGCATCCTGGCTTAGTAGTCGCATGTAGAGTAGTAGGTATGGTTTGGTCAGGATTCAGTACTAGACGACGTGAAATGGGCTGCTGTCTTGTGATTAATCATTACGAATATCCTCTTACGCTGCTGTCTGCTGACGATCCTAAAGAACTTAAGGGTATCAGTATCAGGGCCATATTCCATTAGGCGTTTCACTATCGAACTTCTTATTGTCTTCTTTTCTGCATGATCCATCCATTTAGGTAGGTGTTCAACCTTTCGGGTAAACAAACGCATCTGCACATAACCTATACATTTTGAACTGACATATTCATTTAGAAGTGTGAAGGATCGGGACTATGTTGTTCCCTGATAGCTGCAATAGCCGTTGGTGGTTCGAATTATTATTAAGCCTAAATATTTGCACTAGTCTTTATCTTCAAATCGTTTATCCTCTCACATAACTTTGTTTGACTCGATATCACTCATTTTCTACCCACCTCTTCTTTGTATACTACTGTGGCAACTGTAACCGATGTAGCAGCTTTCGTTGACTTTGTTTGGCTGTCTGTCTAATAGTAGTGATTAATAGAGAATATCTAACTGGATAGAGGACACCCAATGTCTTCAATCTCCCCACCGCATTAATAACTAGTGTCACAATGACAGAGGGAACTGTAGACGAAACACTAACGATCTGCAACTGCAAAGGTGGGGACTTGAGAAAATTTACAAGAGTCAAGTTTCTCTTGGAAAACAAAGCATGGTTCTGACGCGGTTATTCCAGTAGAGATTTATCTATCACTTGAAATGAATCAGTATCATGTAGTGAAATTTTTTTCGCCAAAAGATGGAAAATATGAACCTCAGATAAGCCTTACTTATCGTATTATTTTATTTATTTTAAAAGTCATTTTACTTATAACCTAATCACTAATATTATTGGAAAAAAAATCTCTTCAACAGCTTCAGACTGACTTTTGTACGACCTGTACGACCTAAATTTTGGAAACAACTCCATGTTAAGTAAAACTCATTATTATATATTATTCCATATTGTGTTTGAAAATCAGCCGGTTATTTCACTTTTACAAACTACGGTGCGTCACGGTGAAGTAATTTAATGATACGTACAGATGAATAAGATCACCTGAAAAACATACGGAAAGTTAGCATCAGACTTTGTTTTCTGTTCCACACAATTGAAGGAAAGGGCCTAATTACTTAACGCATCATGTGGATGAATCAAATATACGAGACTGGGTAGATATATTGTGACCAATCACATTTTCAAGGTCAGTATTAATACTAAGTAGGACGAATCACATGATTAATTCAACTAAAGTCAGACAAAGTTACAACAACCTGGCGACTAGGTTAACTCAGGAATATAACAGAGACAACGTTACACCAGAACACGCTGGCGATTAGACTTTTCATTAGCATCACCTGCATACTACTCACTAATGTCAATGATAAGAGCACATACACACATGTACACGTACAAACACTTTTAACTCAATATAATGGTCATTCTTACCATCTGATGAGTCATGTTTATGAACAGGCATATCGTAGGCTTCTAAACCCCTGGAAGACGTGGACACTTCTCTTCATCTTCACCACCTGGACAGTTTGAATGCCCATTGCAGACTAAACTAGGCTGAACACAATAAATTATTTTCGGCACTGTAGGATGACGCTGTAGCACAGTAGATTTCATTGAAGCCACTGAATTTTTAGTAGTTGAAAAAATTGTAGACGCTTTTGTCATTGTTGTCGGTGGTGGTGGCGTTGTCGTAGTTGATATCTGTAATTCTGATAATCGTGAATGTGACTTGTCACTTTTACCACTGTTGCCATCATTTTCATCATCATCTACCTCTTCGTAAGTAGATTTAGACCGAATTGTTAAATTGAAATACTCTTTATAGGCAATATAATTCGTGGGTAATATACAAGGTACCCAGTCGCCTTCACAAAGTGCTAAAGGGGATTTTAAAGAGAAAATCAAAGTGATAGGAATTAGAGTTGGTAAAACTAAACCGCGGTCTCTATGAAATTATTGCCTAACCTAGTAACGCTGAAATTCCCGTCGATTAGCTACTTGTCGTTCCAAGGTCAGATAGTGAATAGTTTGGTCACGTTTGTGCACAAATGACTGGTATATTTCAGCAATATTTCGTCATACTGCAAACTTTTATTCAAATTTAGTCTTTATACGACTCCAGTAGTATTCTAATTCATCTTCACTATTCATCACATTTTGACAGCTTAGGCATTGATTGATGGTAAAATAGAAATTAAGGACCGGTCCGGATTCTAACCAGTGATTATAGGGTTTCCTGTCAAGTCTTCTGCCAAATCAGCTACAAGATGCGGTGGATGTATTGACACTATTTCTGTTGGCATGCTTGACAAATTACTTTAACTATCAAATCCCAACATAATAAAAATGCGGATGCCTCAATATAGCTTGAATAACAATTATGGCAATTCACTAGGTTGTGGCTAGAAGAGGAATCCAGAAAGTACGTTTTGTCCTATTTGGAACTCGCCAGATATGTCGAGGCATCCACATGGGAGCTTATATACCAATAGAGGTCGGACAATTTGATCCAATAAAACAATGGAAAATTACAAGTTTATATCGATAAACAGTAATAACTAATATCCGTTGTACAAGAGGTGGCTATCGTTCCTCAGTAGCATAGTGGATAACTCCTTGGCGTTCGAAGCGATGGGTACGAGGTTTGAGTCTCAGTAGGATCATCATCACTGACTGGGGTGCACGTACATCCAACTGATGAGTCCCAAATAGGACAGAACGAGCGTCCCAGATTCCTCTGTTAGCCACAAAAAAGTGAATTGTCATAATAAAAATGAATAAATTTGCGGCTGAATGTGAGACCGTCTAAAACAGAAACTCCACTAAAATACTTGTCTTTTCATGTCTGACGGGATATCTTTCATATATAAGGAGACACTAGAAACCTAATTGTCTGAATTCTTGGTAAAGTTAGTATTTGAATTAGGGCTTGGTTACTGTAAAAAACCTCTGAGTAATATGAAATGTCTTTTTATGTTTCCAGTACCGAATAATTTTATGCCGTTTCAAGTTATGAACTTTGAGTATATGACAAAAGGGGAAGGTAAAATTTAAAGTTTGGCAGTGAAAAGATGCGATCGACGTACTTGTAAATTGACAGTCTCTATCTTAGTGAACAAAGCGAATGGAATAAGAACTCATACTTACATAACCAATTATATTTTACTAACTCATCTTACTTATTGAAAGCTTTTTAAAAATTTGATAGTAATAATGGCTTTATTCTAAAGAATGCTCCGGAAATACTTTGCAGCATGTTATTCAGCGTCATTTGGGCAGAAACAGTCTTTATGTATACATAATAGATTGAAATAAGTAGAAATTGCACATAAAATATAAGAATATTTGCTCCGTCTACAAATTTCGTGAACATACAGAGTTGACTTAGGTAGATAGTCGCATTAGCAATTAAATTCATAACACATAAATAACAACAAGCTGTGCAGTCTTTCATTAGTTTACCTTCAAAACAAAAATTCGATCCCAAACCGGGTTGTGGGTGCTTACTGCTGAGGAGTCCCGTTCTGGGACGTAACAACTGTCCAGTGCTGCCAGGTTTTCAGTGGTTCCCCAACTGATGTCAGTATATGATGTATACTACCTGTGAAAGTTGGTTCATTTCTAACAGTTTTTTCATCACAAAGGAAAGGAGCAAATTACAGTATTATAGAGATTTTATATTCAGTAGTATGTAAATAAAGCCCTGTATACTTCCTTCGACCTCACCTGGTTAACTAGTTCACTAGTTACTAGCCGGTCCTAAGCCCGCATAAAGAGGGAAGGTTGGGCATAGGGCTAGCAACCCTACCCCGTAAAACAAATCCAACCGCTAAAGAAACTTCAAAGCACATAGAAAATATTAAAAATAAAAACAAACTTATTCCTCGCTGGAATCGGAGAGGCGAAATGACGCCGGTTGGTGAAAGCCCTTGAGAAGCCAGTTGGCCGATTTGTCTTCTCTCGATGAAAGCGAAAGTGAAAGTGGGGACATGGAATGTCCGCACCATGTTTGAACCCAGCAAGGCAGCCCAGATTGCAAAAGAGATGAGAAGGTATCAGAGTGAAGTGCTTGGAATTTGCGAAAGCAGATGGAATTGGAGTGGACTCTCCAAACTGTCAACTGGAGAATCAATAATCTACTCCGGTCACCCAGATGACAAACACGAGCACACTGAGTTTTGCAGTGCCCATCATGATGTCCCCAAGAGCATGGAAGGCTGTCTCTCATGCAGTGGGAACCAATCTCCTCAACATCAGGATCATGACAGCAAGGTTCAACTCAAAAGGGAGGAATATCACAATCATACAATACTACGCTACGCACCTACAAATAACGCAGATGAAGAGAAGAAGGAGGAACTCGACAGACAACTGCAATCAACACTGGACAAGACCCCACCTCAGATGGCGACATCAAAATTCTAATGGGTGGGGTGACATGAATGCCAAACTGGGAGCAGACAACACAGGAAGAGAACTAACCATGGGCCGAGAAGCGCTAGGTGGAATGAACGAGAATAGAGAATTGTTTGTAGAATTCTGTGCATTCAACGATTTGGTGATTGCAGTGAGGCAGTGTGTTCAAGCACAAGGATATCCACAAAGCGATATAGATTTGATTTCACCAGATGGACACAGTGCACTAAAAATCAGATCGACTTTATCTCAATCTCAAGAAAGTGGAGACGCAGTCTACTTGACACAAGGTCAAGAAGAGGAGCAGATGTAGAATCACACCACTCACTATCTAGTGCAAGGAACCTAACTTCCAAATCAAGTTGAGAGTCTTCAAGGAAGCTGGTGACAGACCACAGTTCAAGTACAACACTCGGAAACTGAAGGACGAAACTACGAAGAAAGTCTTCACGTCAGCCATCAAGACAAAATGGGAGATATCGAGGAACATCCCTGAAGAAACCTGTGTGGAAGAACACTGGAGGTCTTGGAAAGAGATGTGGAGAGAAACCTGCATAACCGTATTAGGAAGGAAGAAGAAAGAAGACAAGGAATGGATCTCGACGGATACATGGAAGCTGATAGGATAGGGAGAGGAGGATGGTGAAGCAGAAGATAAACCAGTGCAAGGATGCACAACGAGAAGAGGAACTGAGTACAATGTATAAAACACTGGTCAAAGAAGTGAAGAAGAGTGCGCGGAAAGACAAAAGACACTTCTACGAAACACTGGCAAGTGAAGCAGAACAGGCTGCAGGCAGGAGAGACAGAGACCTGATAACATTGTATCAAATAACCAGGTTACTATCCGGGAGGGGAGAGATCAACGCAGACGAAACCAATAAAAGATGATGAAGGAGATATAATTACGAAAGAAGAGAAACAAAGGAGAGGATGGGCCGACCACTTCAAGAAGCTCTTGAATCGACCACCACCACCACCTGCACTTCGTCCAGAAATACCACCTGCAGCCCAGCCACAGAACTACAAGTGAACACAAATCCTCCAACAAAAATGGAAGTCCTGAACGCCATAAAGCAACTGAAATGTAGGAAAGCAGCAGGACCAGATGGAATCCCGCCAGAAGCACTGAGAACAGACGCATAGACAACAGTGGACATGCTCACACAACTATTGCAGAAGGTGTGGAAGGAAGAGAAGGTACCTGGCTAGTGATTGGAAGAAGAGTTACCTTGTCAAACTCCCAAAGAAAGGCGACCTAAGTGTTTGCAAGAACTGGCGCGGAACCACGCTCCTGTCCGCCCCAAGCAAAATGTTATGCCGCATCATCCTGGAGAGACCAACAGTGCGCTGGATTCAAAACTACGACCCGAACAGTCTGGCTGGCTTCAGGAAGTACAAATCATGTGCGGACCAAATTGCAACGCTACACTTCACATCATCATCATAGGACAGAGTATAGAATGGCAGTCAACCCTCTACCTCAACTTCATCGACTTTGAGAAGGCCTTTGACAGCGTCGACCGACAAGTAATTTGGCAACTGCTTCAACACTACGGAATACCACAAACCTCTATCAGCCTCATTCAACAACTACATGAAGACGCCACATACCAAGTTATTCACAATGGGAAGCTCAGTGAAGACAGGAGTAAGACAAGGTTGCCTACTATCCCCATGATATTCCTGATTGTGGTTGACTCGGCTGGACTGGATCATACAACAAACTGTGAGGAGTGAGGAGACGGGTATACGCTGTTTGACCGATGAAAATACCCTAGAAGATTTGGATTTCGCCAATGGCTTGTGTCTAATGTCGCACAAACTTGAAGATCTACAGGCGAAAACTAACAAGTTGACAGAAGAGGCAGGGTAGCGAAGACAGGACTTCAAGTGAACGTGGAGAAGACAGAGGTGATAAAGATACCCAACCAACGCCAACGCCAACGCCAACGCCAACGCCAACGCCAACGCCAACAACAGCAACAACAACAACAACAACAATAAGCACCAATCACCATCAACGGGAGAAACTTGAAGGAAGTAGCCTCCTTCACCTATCTATGCAGCATCGTTTCAACGACAGGCGGTGGCACAGACGAAGATGTCAAAACCAGGATCGGAAAAGCAAGACAGGCTTTCATTAATCTGAAATCAGTGTGGAGATCTACTGCACTCAGCACAAAGGACAAGATCCGCATTTTCAACGCCAATCTCAAGTCAGTGCGTGTCACGAAAAGCACTTCCAACAAACTGCAGACATTCATCAACAACTGCCTGCGCTCGATACTGAAGCTCAGATGGTCAGAGAGAATAAGCAACAAGGAACTCACTCTGGCAACGAACCAACCAAGAACCCATCGCCTGACAAATATGCAGAAGGAAGTGGAGATGGATTGGGCATGCGCCGAGAAGACCGTTCGGAGACATCACGCGCCAGGCATCGAGTGGAATCCAGATG